TTTTATTTTTGTTTGAGAGTGTTGTGCTTTTAGTGGATGTTGAGTTATTGTGATTTAGTGGAGTTTCTTGATTTTATGTTTTGGATTGATATATAGTTATTTTTGATATTATAGATATGAATAGCACGTTTGAAGCTTTGTTGCGTATGTGTCGGGAAGGCGCGAGGACGCGGGTGTGGTCCCGGGAGGGGGGTACGGGGGGGCAAATTCGACCCGACAAAGGAAGTGCAATAGGTAATGGAAGGGAAGGTGGGGGTTCGATGGGAGGTGACATTGATGGAGCGGGGTCATTTGGGGGGGCGTTTGAGGGCTGAAGGGGGGGGTGGGCGGGACGGGCACGGTGGGGTCAAGGGTGAAACGGTGGTAGGGGGAAGAAGGGGGGGGGGAGGGGGGGTGGGGAAGGAGTAGGGAGGTTTTATGTGGGGGTCTAGTGGGAAGATTTGTTGGGGACTATAGACTGGCCTGGTCCGGGTGGGGGTTGAACAGTGGGTGGAGGAGTGCTCTTTTGACGTAGAGGCAGGGAGTGAAACTGAGGGAGGCTCAGAAGAGGGGAGGCTACTCGACGCGGGGAGGGGCTCGCGAGGGGAGGCTCGATGGTTTGGATTGCGAGCTGTGTGGGGGATTTGGGGGTTGATTGTACTGCATGGAGCACATGGATGGGAGGTCTTGGGTTAGGTGGGTTGACAGGGGTCCTGTTGGGAGTGTATGGTTTAGGTGTGTGACTGGGTTACCAGGGGGGTCGTGTTTGGGCGAAGGGTATTGCTCGCGTGGGGAGTTTGGGGGGTTTGCCGTGTTAGGGTGTTGGTGTGTGGTTCAGTGTGGGTCGGGCGTGATGGGGGATAGTGAGGTTTCTGGAGGATCGGATGGTAGACTGAAGTGGCCTTGGGTTGTAGCTGCGGGGAGGGGGGGGTGCTATGGGGTGTGGGGTAGAGGGCAGAGTGGTTAGAGGGGGTGGTAATGTCGTGCTTCGGGTGGGGTGTCACGGGGCCGTGGGGCCGTGTCAGGAAGTCTTGCCGGCCCAGAGCTTGGTGTAAGGACGGCTACCATCTGGTAGATGTACCCGGGCCAGGCTCTCTTGTCCTGGCGAAACACTTCCTGGTACTCATGTCTGTAATGTTGTGTGCGCGCTTACCCATTGTGTGTTCCTACCGGCGTTTAATTTATACGCAGTTTGATCCTTATCGGGAAGTTGGTTCGGGAGGTGTTTGGGGTAAGCGTGTGTATGTGATATGGGGTACATGGGTTGTGCAGTATTGTGGGAATTCATTGCACGGAGAGTATGATTCGGTGTGGGATGGGTGCCGGAGAGTTATTGGTGATTAGGGGATCGTGCGGAGGGGGGGATGTGTGGGTGTGTGCAGCGGTGGTTGTGACGTGTGTGTAACTTACTGGGTGTTGGATCAGTGTCGGGTGGGTGTTGTTATTGTTTGTGTTGGCGGGGGGGTTCGGGGGGGGCAGGGCGGGGGTCGGAAGCACTCGTGGGTTTCGATGGGGTGGGGGGGTGGGGGAGCGGCTAGGATCATGGGGGTTTGTGGGGCGCGGGAGAGGGAGGATGGGCTAGTTAGAATAGGAGGAGTTAGGTGGCGGATGTATTTAAAACTAGTTTGAAGGTTTGTGGGGAGAGAGTGGGGGTAGGAAGGAGTTTGGGGTGGTGTGGAGGTTGGTATGATATCGGGCTGGGGGTGGCCACTAGTGTGGGTCTTGGAGGCATGAGGAAGGGTGGGGGGGTGCGGTGTGGCGGGGGATGGGGTGTGGTTGGGTTTGGGGGGAGCGGGTGGAAGTAGGAGAGGGGTCAAAAATAGGAGGGGTAAAGATTAGATCGAGGCTAGAGATAGGGGGGTCGCACTAAGCGGGGGGAAAAAAGTAGGAGGGGTAATGATGATGGGTAGAGATAGGGTGGGGTAGAAATAGAGGGGCGGAAAGCTAGAGGGGGGTCAAAAATAGATGCGGGTAGAGCGATAGGGGGGGTAGAAAGAGCGGGGTGTAAAACTCAGAGGGGTGTAAAAAATTCCAAGAGTTGGTAAAAAGTAGTGGTAAAAATAGAGGGGTACAAAACTCAGAGTGGAACAAATAGAGTGTAAATCTAGGGGGTAAAAATTGAGTGGGTAAACAATAGCGCGGGTCAAAAATAGAGTGGTAAAATGAGAGTGGTAAAAAAAATAGAGGGGTAACCAATAGAGTGACAGGTAAACTCATAGAGTGGTAAACTAGGAGGGAGTCAAAAATAGAGTGGTAAAATAGAGATTGGTAAAAATAGACGTGGTAAAAATATAGAGTGCCTGGTCAAAAATAGGAGTGTGTAACAAATAGAGGGGTAAAAATCAAAGAGTGGTAAAAATAGAGTGGTAAAAAATAGAGTGGTAAAAAATAGAGCGGTCTAAAAATAGAGCTGGTATAGAATAGAGTGGTGAAAATAGAGTGGTAAAAATAGACCGCCTGGTAAAAATAGAGCATGGTACAAACATAGAGGGGGTAAACATAAAGAGTGGTCAAAAATAGAGTGGTAAAAAAGAGGGGTAAAAATCGAGAGGTAAAAATAGAGGGGTAAAAAAGAGTGGTAAAAATAGAGTGGTAACAAAATAGAATCCCCTGGTAAAAATAAGAGTGGTTAAAAATGAGAGGGGTAAAAATAGTCGTGGTTAAAATAGAGTGGTAAAAATAGAGGGGATAAAAATAGAGTGGTAAAAATAGAGTGGTGCAAAAGAGTGGTAAAAATAAGAGTGGTAAAAATAGAGTGGTAAAAATAGAGTGGGTAAAATAGAGGGGTAAAAATAGAGTGGTACAAATCGGAGTGCGTAAAAACTAGAGGTGGTAAAACATGAGAGTGGGTAAAACTAGAGCTGGTACAAATATAGAGTGGCTTTGAAGGGGTTGTTTGCGTGTGTTTGTATGTGGGCTCACTGGAGGTCGCCCCTCTACAATCAACCGTTTAGGGGGGTTTGGGGTGGTAGCGTTGGGGGTTGGGTGGTTGACAATGGGGTTGGTAACAGGGTGTGGTGTTGGGTGGCGATTCCTGGCGTGGGATTTGCTTCGAACACTCGCGGGAACGACTGCACGGCCGCAGGGAGGCTCTATATACAAGGCGACTTGGAAGCACTCCTACATCTCTGGAACTGGTGACTACCTGCCGGAGGGAGGCTCAACCCAAGGCCGTGAAAGCACGCCACACTCTGGAACTGATCCTGCCGGGGAGGCTAAACCGGCGTTGTTGCCACGCCTATCGAGGGTATGGTCGGACGGAAGGGCAGGTGTGGACGGATTCCTGGAGGGGTTGCTAATAACTGTGTCGAGGTGGTTCGGTCGACGGGCAGGGACTTCTGTGGCTCAACCAGGCGTGGAGCACTCCACCACTCTGGAACTGACTCCTAGCGGGGAGGCTCAACCCAGGCCGCGTAGGCAGACTCCCACACCATTCTCTCCCGCCCTACGTACCACCCTCTGTAGATCCGTGCCAGACTCCTACCCCCACTCAACCCACCTAGACCCCACTCTATACCCCACTCTTCCCCCACTTGGTACCCCCATTAGACCCCCCCCCCTCTATACCCCATTTGGTACCCCCAAATCTGTCCCCACCTGGACCCCCCCACTCTGACCCCACTCCCAAGTACCCCCCTCAGTCCCCCCATCTTCCCCCCTCGACCCCCTCTGTAACCCCAACCCCCAAACCCCCCATTTGGACCCCCCCACTCAAACCCCCATTCTAGATCCCAAGACCCCCCAAATTTTGCCCCCCCTCAAGACCCCCCCTCAGTCCCCCCTCGGCCCCCCCCATCAACCCCCCACTCTATACCCCCCCCTAGACCCCCCCAGCCCCCCCCCAGTACCCCCACTCATCAATCCTTAAGAGAAACTGGAAAATAACTGGAAAGTTTTGCCTAATGGAAAATTTATAATCCTTAATGTAGTTTTTGGACCCCCGGGTGGAGCACTCCACAAAATCTGGAACGACTCCGCCGGGGAGGTAAACCCGGCGTGGAGCACTCCACACCGGAACTGACTCCTGCCGGGGACTCAACCAGGGGTGAACACCCACACCTGGAACTGACTCCTGCCGGGGGGCTCAACCAGGCGTAACCCCACACTCTGGAACTGCTCCTGCCGGGGGGCTCAACCAGGTGGAGCACTCCCACTCTGGGAAATGACCCTGCCCGGGGAGGCCAACCAGGCGTGGGAGCACCCCACACCCCTGGAAAATGCTCCTGCCGGGGAGGCTCAACCAGGCGGGAGCACCCCACCTGGGAATGACTCCTCCGGGGAGGCTCAACCAGGCTGGAGCATCCACACTCTGGACTGACTCCTGCCGGGGAGGCTCAACCCGGCGTGGAGCAAAACCACACTCTGGGAAATGACTCCCGCCGGGGGGGTAACCCGGCGTGGAGCATCCACACTCTGGAACTGACTCCTGCCGGGGGGGCTCAACCAGGGGTGGAGCACTCCACACTCTGGAACTGACTCCTGCCGGGGAGGCTCAACCAGGCGTGGAGCACTCCACACTCTGGAACTGACTCCTGCCGGGGAGGCTCAACCAGGCGTGGAGCACTCCACACTCTGGAACTGACTCCTGCCGGGGAGGCTCAACCAGGCGTGGAGCACTCCACACTCTGGAACTGACTCCTGCCGGGGAGGCTCAACCAGGCGTGAAGCACGCCACACTCTGGAACTGACTCCTGCCGGGGAGGCTCAACCAGGCGTGGAGCACGCCACACTCTGGAACTGACTCCTGCGGGAGGCTCAACCAGGCGTGAAGCACGCCACATTCTGGAACTGACTCCTGCCGGGGAGGCTCAACCAGGCGTGGAGCACCGCCACACTCTGGAACTGACTCCTGCCGGGGAGGCTCAACCAGGCGTGGAGCACTCCACACTCTGGAACTGACTCCTGCCGGGGAGGCTCAACCAGGCGTGGAGCACGCCACGCTCTGGAACTGACTCCTGCCGGGGAGGCTCAACCAGGCGTGGAGCACGCCACACTCTGGAACTGACTCCTGCCGGGGAGGCTCAACCAGGCGTGGAGCACTCCACACTCTGGAACTGACTCCTGCCGGGGAGGCTCAACCAGGCGTGGAGCACTCCACACTCTGGAACTGACTCCTGCCGGGGAGGCTCAACCAGGCGTGGAGCACTCCACACTCTGGAACTGACTCCTGCCGGGGAGCTCAACCAGGCGTGAAGCACGCCACACTCTGGAACTGACTCCTGCCGGGGAGGCTCAACCAGGCGTGAAGCACGCCACACTCTGGAACTGACTCCTGCGGGGAGGCTCAACCAGGCGTGGAGCACTCCACACTCTGGAACTGACTCCTGCCGGGGAGGCTCAACCAGGCGTGGAGCACTCCACACTCTGGAACTGACTCCTGCCGGGAGGCTCAACCAGGCGTGGAGCACTCCACACTCTGGAACTGACTCCTGCCGGGGAGGCTCAACCAGGCGTGGAGCACTCCACACTCTGGAACTGACTCCTGCCGGGGAGCTCAACCAGGCGTGGAGCACTCCACACTCTGGAACTGACTCCTGCCGGGGAGGCTCAACCAGGCGTGGAGCACTCCACACTCTGGAACTGACTCCTGCCGGGGAGGCTCAACCAGGCGTGGAGCACTCCACACTCTGGAACTGACTCCTGCCGGGTAGATAGAGGCTTGATATAGACGGGAGGTATAGGATGGCAAGACGGCGCCAGGGTGCTGCCAGAAAAACGTTGGGACAGCGTGTCTCTCTGGGTAGTTCCAGTTCCTTGGATCAAGAGTTCTTTACCAGCATCAAGTCACTCTCCCCTTCCCCATGTTATTTAAATACTGGTGTACCATACCGAATACTGCTGTACATTAACATTCCCTATTCAAGGCAGGTGAAATTGCAGATCTAGAGAATGTACAGAAAACCTTTACTGCACATATAAGTTCCATCAAACATCTTAACTACTGGGAACGCCTGGAAGCACTTAACTTGTACTCACTGGAGCATAGGCGAGAGAGATATATCATAATCTACAAATGGAAGATTCTGGAGGGAGTGGTCCCTAACCTGCAAACACAAATCACTCCCTACGAAAACAAAAGACTTGGCAGGCGATGTAACATACCGACCACAATACTCTGGCAGCCAAATGTCCTACTAAACGGGAAATACTGAAAAAAACCGCTAGAGCAACAGCAGACACAAAATACCCAAGCAACATCATATGTTGACATCACCAAGACCCAGACAGACACAACCAAAATCCCCCAGGCCACCCAAGCTGCTACCTCCACCACGACCGCATCCCCACCACTACCTGTGGGTGACTCCACCAAAATCCTATACTGCATCATGTATGCCCACGTACACAATGTTGCGGTTCCAGGCTCCTTCAACACCACGATCAACGAACTCTTCAAACTCAACAACATGCCCACCTTCTTATTCCCTGCATCACCACCTTCAAGTGACATCGTGAAGTCCACTACTGACATTATCAACATCACCTCTGCTCCTCCACCTCCACCAACCACTCAAATGATCGACAATCAGAGACCACCGAACCACAGCAGAATCCCACCAATAAGAGCCTTCCTCAAGCCTCTCCTATCACACACATCAACCAAGATCCAACCCTTCCTCCACCATCCACACAACCTTCCTCAACTCCACCTCCGCCTTCTCCACCTTCCTCCACTCCATTTAACTCACATCTGTTAAACACAAAGGACTCAGGTTCTACACCACGTCACAATACCCCAGAGAAATGACTCGCCAAGAACTCATCAAATGTCTCCAGGACAACACAGCAAAGTACACCAGCCACGATAAACCATTCCTACCGTCAACCAGATAATCGACCAACTCAACAGCTATACACGCTTCTACGACTCCCATAACTATGATACAGCTCTCCAGAACAAGATTCAATGCAATGCACAGCAGAATAAGTGAATAACCAACTACCATCAAGCTGAATAGCACTTTGCTATTCAGCTAAATCTGGGGTGTGGCTCCAAAACGACCCTGTTTTCCTGGGCACCACCAGCCATCTCCTGCCGGGCACCTGTGTACCAGCCCTACTCTACTGACACTGCTGCCACCAGCACATCTCACTCCAGCACAACCTCTTGCAGTACCTCTGCACATCACGCTCCAGAGTGGACGGGTCACTCACCTCTGCTACCCCACCTCCTACTCCACCCTCCCAACCTCTTCCATTTTTCCAACCCTCCCCTCCCTCTTCCTTCCCATCCTCACCAACCCCTCACGTCGGAGAACTTTGAACCTTCGCAGGCGATGTAACATATCCCTAGTGTAAAGTAGGGGCGCCATTAGTACACTAAGAGAAAACACAAGTGTTCGGGGCCCAAGACTGTTCAACAGCCTCCAACCAGTCATAAAGGGAATTACCAATAAACCCCTGGTTGTCTTCAAGAGGGAGCTGGACAAATACTTAAAATCAGTGCCAGAGATCAGCCAGGCTGTGGTTCGTATGTTGGACTACATGCGGCCAGCAGTAACAGCTGGTTGATCAGGCCCTGATCCACGAGGAGACCTGGTCATAGACCGGGCCGCGGGGGCGTTGATCCCCAGAATGCCCTCCAGGTAGACTCCAGGTAGATCGACGAGTTGAAGATTTAGGCACGAATGCCACACCTGGTTTTCTTTAACTGAAGATGTTGCGCTCGCCAGTGGCTTTATCAGTTCAGTAAAGAAAAAGAATATGTGTATACAGTAGAAGATAAGGTAATCAGTCCCTTCAGGTGGAAACCGGTGTTCAGCACCGTAGTCTTGACGAACCTAGTCTTCGTCCATCAACACAAAGATGCTGAAGAACACCGTAGAAAGAGCGAGAGACGCGCGCGCACACACACACACACGCACACACACACACACACACACACACACACACACACACACACACACACACACACACACACACACACACACACACACACACACAGGAAGGCCAGGACGAATGAAGCCAAATTACAAGAAAGGGGACTACACAGGAATGAGGAACTTCCTGAAACGGGGTTCAGTGGGACAGAGAACTGGCAGGGAAGCCAGTTAATGAGATGATGGAATATGTAGCAACAAAATGCAAGGAGGCTGAGGAGAGGTTTGTACCCAAGGGTAACAGGAATAATGAAAAAGCCAGGATGAGCCCATGGTTTTACCCAAAGGTGCAGGGAAGCAAAAACCAAGTGTGCTAGGGAATGGAAGAAATATAGAAGGCAAAGGACCCAGGAGAATAAGGAGAGCAGTCGTAGAGCCAGAAACGAATATGCACAGGTAAGAAGGGAGGCCCAAAGACAATATGAAAATGACATAGCAGCGAAAGCCAAATCTGACCCGAAACTGTTGTACAGCCACATAGGAGGAAAAACAAACGTCAAGGACCAGGTATCAGGCTAAGGAAGGGGAGACAACAAAAAATGACCGTGAAGTATGTGAGGAAAATCAAAAAGAGATTCAAAGAAGTGTTCACAGAGG